GAGGAAGAAAAAAGGAAGAAAGAAATAGAAAGCAGGAAAAAGGAAAGTGCCAAAGACGAAAATCTTTTCCTCAAACTTTGCTGTTGATAAATGGTGATGTTTATCATAAATCTGCTATTTGTCAAATATTGTTGAAAGCATATGAATGGTCATGGAAACTTAAACTCTTGATTTCATAAAGCTTACTTTTAATTATAAAAGGCAGATGGTTGGCTAAATATGTGAAATATTCCTATCTTAAATGACAATGAATGGTATACCTGGCAAGGGCAAGGAAACTATTTGAACTGAAAGCTGGAGCTATAGCAGAGTGGTAGGGCATTTGCCTTGCACGCAGCTGACTTGGCTGAGCCGGGTTCAATTCCTCCGCCCCTCTCAGAGAGCGCGGCAAGCTACCGAGAGTATGTCATCTGCACGGCAAAGCCTGGCAAACTGCCCATAATCATATTCAATATGCCAAACACAGTAACAACAAGTCTCACAATGGGGACGTTACTGGGACCGCTCGAACAAATTGATGAACAACGGGAGGACAGTGCTATAGTGCAGTGGTACTTTGTACTTCAAGAAGCATGTAAATAGCTCATGAACCCTCTTCTGGTCAAAATTCTCCCAGAAGATTTCATCTCTGAATATAATCTCTAATCCAGATAGCAGTAAAATATTCTTCTTCTTCCCAAGTCAGCAGAGATTTCTTCTGTCATTTTTCCATAAGGATATAATCTATTTCCAAATTCATATATTTCTTTGCATCAAATTTATTGCTTTCATTGTATTATATAATATATTCATGTTTTCTACCCCACTATGTGGCTTTATTAGGAAAATCACATTTTGTCATTACTGTGTTCTATTTTTATGTATTTATTTTGGATGTGGGGGTTACTCCCAGAAGTCTGTAAGGTTTATTCCTGGCTTTGGGAGTGACTTCTAGTAGTACCAGGAAGCAAATCAGAGTCAGCTATATGCAAAGGAAGGACCATAATCCCCATGTTATCTCTCTGGTCTCTATTTCGTTTTGTTTGGCAACCCAGAATCTGTATTAGCACATGATTTTTCAAGTAACACATGTTTAACAAAACTATGAAAAATAAAAATGATAAATGAAAACAGGCAAAAATAGAAGACCCAATTCAAAGAGGTGTTTGTTGGTAACTTGGAGTCAGCTTTGCAAGGCTGTTTTCTGTAATAGTTTTCAGCTTCAGTTAAATCTCCTCAAGTCCTTTCAAAATGATGACATGCAGAGAAACTGAATTATGTTGCTTAGATATTGGCTTCTCCACCAGGAAAAAAAAAATAAGAGAGCTACTGGGAGATATTGCACTTGAACCATTACAATTCCAGCTAAGGTAATGGGAGAAGAATGAGGTGGCAAGAGCAGTAATGTGTTTTGATATTTATTTAATCTCAGCACAGCATATTTACACTAATTAGAGCTGTGCCTTGCAGGCAGATGTTCAAATCAGCTGGGAATACAGGAGGCAAACAAAAGATTCTGGGAGTTCAGTATGGTTTCAGCTAGAGTGCCATAGTTCTCAGCACAGATAGATTTGATATGCACAGGTAGAGAGGTCCCCTTTGACATCATTCTACCATACCATGATGAATTCTCAGCACCTGCTCCTCGCCCTCCCTGGATTCATGATTTCCAATCACTGGCTTTATTTTAGGTTCATTCGTCAGCTTGCCCTACCCCCTTCTCTAATTGTGAGCCCACTCTGTATTAATGTTGCTTATCTGGGAAGTCTCTCTTTCTCCCCTCCTGGACTGTACTCCAGGGAAAAATATCACGATTAGTGTGTGTGTTGAAGATGTGCATTCTGTCGCGATAAGCAAGTCATAGATCCGTACTTGCCTGCAAACTCAATGGAGTTCATTTTATTTTCTCCTAACATTAGTTTACCAATCTGTATAATGGTAAGTGTCCTTACTACATAGGGTTTCATGCAGGCTTAATAAAAGAATGTTCATAAAGTTTCTAATATAGAGTCAGAGCTCATTGTTCGTGACTTCTGGCTCATAATCATGATCCGTGCAGCTCAGACATGCAAAACTGGAAATTAATGTCTAATAATAACCCAGTGTTAATTAACTCAGTAGTCTTCTGATTGTTGTTGAATTATAGGACATCAGTAAAGGCTCATCTGTACTATAATTTATCATTTATTGGACTGGAGTGATAGTGAGGTAGATAGGGTGCTTGTTTTGCATGGGTAAACCTGGGTTAGATCCCCAGTATCCTGAATGGTCCCCTGAGAACGTCCATGAATAACTCCTGGGTCCAGAGCCAGAAATAACCTTTGAGCACTGTCAGGTGTAGTCCCTAAATAAATAAATTTTATAAAATTATTATTAATATATTATCTATATTTCTTTTTTGTTTGTTGTGAAGCCAATTTTACCTAAGATTATTTTGATATATCATCCTTAATTATTGATGACATAGTATATATATGTATGTGTGTGTGTACTTATACATACACCGTGTACATATAAATACACACACATACACACACATATATATGTGTATATATATATATACATACATAAAGTCCTTTTCTTTGGACATCATATTAAAAACCTTTTTTCGTGAAAGTAAAATAGAATTTGAATACCTACAAAAGTGAAAATAAAAACCTATTTTAATGCAATTTTTGAAACTTTTAAAAGATCTGATTCCTGTGTAAACTGATGGCTTTCATTTGTATTTGGAGAGTCTTCTACCTTAGAAATCCCAATGACCTTTAAAGATACAAAGAAACCAATTCATAATTACACTTCCTATTTTGGTGGGGGTGAAGGGTGGGGAAGGTCATACCCAGCAGTACTCACAGCTTACTTATCATTCTGAATATAGGGATTATTCCTTGAAGTGCTGGAGATTAAACCAGGATCTACATCATGCAAGAGATCACCTTAACCTCTGTATTATCTCTCTGGCTTCTTTAATCTATTTTGAAAATCCGTTTTTACTAAGGCATCATCCTTTACAGTAGTACTAGCATGTGCTACTGCTACATCATCCCCGTTATCAAAAATGTCATTAGATTCTTGAGGTCAAGTAAATCTACACATATTTGTCCCCCTATTTTTAACTTAATTTACATTATATTATAGGTTTATGTCTTATTTCTTAAATGACATAACATTTTATTCATTTTATCTGTTAATAGACCTGTTAGTAAAACAAATACTTGTTAACCAATTATTGTAGCCCAACATTATATCAAGTTTTTGAGTAAAATTATGACACTGGTTTTCTACTGGAGAACTAACAATCAAGAAAGGTGAGATAACTCATTTATAATCTACTATCACTGTCATTATCACTGTCCTCCCGTTGTTCATTGATTTGCTCGAGCGGGCCCAGTAACATCTCCATTGGAGACTTTGTTGTTACTGTGTTTGGCATATCGAATACATCACGGGTAGCTTGCTGGGCTCTCAGAGGGGCAGAGGAATCGAACTCGGATCGGCCATGTTGGCTGCATGCAAGGCAAATGCCCTACCACTTACTATCGCTCCAGCCCTTATAATCTACTGGCAACTTTAAAAATCCAATTTAATTTTATTGATTTAAATACTTGAATTTAATAGTGTTTCACCACTTCTTGGTTTTTTTTTTTTTGGCTTTTTGGGTCACACCCGACGATGCTCAGGGGTTACTCCTGGCTCATGCACTCAGGAATCACTCCTGGTGGTGCTTGGGGGACCATATGGGATGCTGGGAATCGAATCCAGGTAGGCCATGTTGGCTGCATGCAAGGCAAACGCCCTACTCGCTGTGCTATCGCTCCAGCCCCACCACTTCTTGTTTTTTATGATGGTTAATTTTGTATTCCAAACATGTTATAATAGTGAAATTAAGCTCCAATATTAGAATTTTATTCAACTTATTTTCTCTCTTATTTTTTTAAAGAATAAAATATATTCAAATACTTTGCTTCAGCTATCAGTCTTGAAAATACAGTATATTTTTTATAATCTGCAATAATTATGATATATTAAAGAGGTGCTTACAACCTTTTTTAATGCCCTGCCACAAAGGAGGGATGGGGTGGGGGAATGGGGTGGGGATGGTGGGAAGGAGACTGGGATCATTGGTGGTGGAAAATGGGCACTTGTTGAAGGGATGGGTACTTGATCATTGTATAACTGAAATGTAAGCATGCAAATTTGTAAATCTGTAACTGTACCCCACGGTGATTCATTAAAAAAATAAAATAACAACATTTGAGTGATAATCAAAACAACGTATTCCTCAATTATGTCCACTGTCTACTGTCTTCCCATTGTTCATCGACTTGCTCAAGTGGGCCCAGTAATGTCTCCATTTTGAGACTTGTTGTTACCGTGTTTGGCATATTGTATATGTCACGGATAGCTTGCCAGGCTTTGCTGTGCTGGTGAGATACTCTCGGTTGCTTGCCAAGCTCTCTGAGAGGAGCAGAGGAATCGAACCTGGGTTGGCCAGGCCAACCACATGCAAGGCAAATGCCCTACCCCCTGTGCCATCACTCCAGCCCATTCCTCAATTATACAGCTATTAAATATTTTCTTATTCGAAATATATATATATTCAATTTATGAGGTTTCTTTGAGCCTTAGGCAAGGTTCATTTTAAAAAAAATACTGGACCACAACTGAAGGTGCTTAGGGTGGGATCTGGGGACCATATGGAGTGTCAGAAATGGAACACAGGTTGGCTGAAAGCAAGACAAATCTTTACATCTCTCTGACTCTTATTTAATCTTTCAAACCCTCAATTTCTTATGTACTTTGGAAATAATAATAGATATTGTTTGACCCAATAGATAATTCTCCAGAAAAATTGAGAGAGGCTTGGACCCACATAGTCAATATAAAGAGGGAATTTGTAAAAAAATGAGTCAGTAGGGAGAGTGAAATCAAGCATTTCTTGGTGCCTCCATGTACCTTTACTCAAATTCCTCTAGTCTAAAGGCTGCTAATCTTCTCACTATCATTCTCTGTATTCACAGACACAGACATCATTCTCAGAGATATCAGAATGCAAGAAACTCACACAAAGTATCACCATGCCTCAACTGTGCATAGTTGGTTACTATGGGAATAACGAGATAAAAGGGTAGTCCAGAGATCAACATAGGTACATATTGAAATATACGTGCATGTGTGTGTATGTATCAGCATATATATGTGCTGTTATATCTCTCTCTATATATGTCTATGTATGTTATATGTATATATGAGATATACTTTATATTTTCTACCTTTTATGAAAATTTTCTTCAATTGATTAAAGTAAAACATGCTGCTTTACAAAAGACATAGCACAAAAGTTAGTGTAACATTTTTTTTCTCCCTGTAATTGAAAATCTGGGAAGGATGAATCACTTCTTATATAGATAGACTAAATGAAGTCTGGTAGAAACACAGCTTTACGAGGTAAGGATAGTGTGCATTGAGGCATTAGAATTAATCAGTGGCACACAACAACCTTATAGCCTTGTAAGAGGGAGTCTGCCCATATTGTTCTCTGCAGTGTCTTTGCTATCATAACCACTCTGTTTTTGAACCCTTGGAGAAGCATTCTAAGGCAAGAAGAGGTGACCTTCAAATGCAAGCTGTGAAATGACTTCTTTGTAGGCACTCTATAGACATTATCATTAATATAGACATCATGATTAATATAATATCATTACAGTATTGGGCTGGAGCAATAGCACAGCGGTAGGGCGTTTGCCTTGCATGCAGCCTGCAGCCACTATGGCCGACCCGAGTTCGATTCCTTCGCCCCTCTCGGAGAGCCCGGCAAGCTACTGAGAGTATCTTGCCCGTGACGTATTCAATATGCCAAACACAGTAACAACAAGTCTCACAGTGGAGACGTTACTGGGCCTGCTCGAGCAAATTGATGAACAACGGGAGAACCGTGACCATTACAGTATTAATGTCCTCTGTAAAGTACACAATGCCACATGATGTATACATACTGTTTCATCCACTTCCTCCAATTTTCTTGTTTTACTGTTCTTTAAACCATCCTTTATTGTTAAGAGTTAATGTACATACATTTCTACCATATGTCACTTTTCCCTCTATAAAAAGTAACTATGTATTATATCTTCCAAAGTTTGTCAGTAGCAAATATACTTTTCACTACTGCATTCAAGCCCAACATAAAGGGTTTTGCTTGTCTGACAATAGTGCATATTCAGATGATTAACCTGAAAACTGGACTCACCTTTTTTCCTTGTGTTGAAAGTAAGCTGAAGAAAAAGCATCTTTCAAGAAACCAGAGAGGTGTAATAGGAAGTTAGAGCATTCTATGCAGAGAATTTGCTAACCATAGAATTTCCCTATGTGCCCAGTCATAGAGGTACTTCTTTCATCAGACGAAAAGCTATTTCTTCCATCATGTGATGAAATAGCGGTCTACCTACTTGTTATATTCATATATTCATAATATATTCATAATATCCATATCATTTATAGTAACTGTGGTCAAGTTAGCAAGAGATCTTCAACATTGAATACTGGCTGCTTATAACTTCTAGAGCATATTTTATATATTATCTCTTTTGTCAATTTAGAGAGGAACTTTCTGACTATACCATCTAAATAAGATGCTTAATTAATCTCTTTTTCCTTTCTCGTAACACCCTTTTTAACCTTTCATATTTATTTTCTGAAGTGCTTGCACCTGTTTCTTTTTGATCTTCTTCACGTAAATTTAGCTCTGCAACATCTTGGCCATATTATTTGATCTATTTCATGCCCCCTGCCCCCATTAGAAACTGTTTCTACTCAGGTTTCAAATGCTCTAAAGACTTTTGAATAAATAAATTCATAATTTTTAATCTTTACTGTGTTAAAATACCATGCTTTCTAGCCAATCCCTTCCCACCACACATGGGTATGTTAGTAGTGGGAAGTGTACCCTGGACACTGGTAAAGAGACATATCCATATATATAATATCCATTATATGAACATTATATGACTGAAAGCTATTTGTGAACAACTTTGTAACTGTGTCTCTCATTGCGATTCAACAACAACAAAATTAAAATAAATAGATAAACACCATGCTTTAGAATGTGATAGGTATTTTTGCATTGTGAATGCATTGTCCATATCTATATTTTAAGAGGCAAAAGTTGGAAATAAAATTTATAACTCTATAATAAATTTAAACTAGAGGATGATAACTTAAAAAATTATATTATGGTTTCAGAATGTATTAATCTTCAGTTTTCTTTATGTTAATACTTAACAAGTATGATAATTAAAGTAATTATTAAAAATTTCTTCCTTGATATTTAAAAGAAAAATAAAACTGAGATGTATTTTATATTTACCATAAGTGTATGGAAAATATATGAGAATTTAAATTTAAAGTATGCAAATATAATATTCGCATACTTTAAATTTTATTGCAAAGTATTTCACATTGTTAATAAGAATCAGGGATTTTCTTAGAATTAGGGATTTTCAAGGTTAGAGAAATTTTTCTGGATTCTTAGATTAAATTTTTTCCACCTGTTTTTTTTGTAAATGGAAAGGAAGTAATTTATTATCATTTTAATTTCTTAATTTCCTATAAAATAAAATGGTACTACAATAGAGATTTTCCTCCCAGCTGAAAACTGGAAGTAGATGCACAGTAAACAGATAGTAACTACATCTTCTAATGCCTTTAAAGTACAGTTGAAGAGAATTCTACTCATATCTTGTCTGTCTTGTCTGTGCTATGTCAGTTTAAAAATAATTCCGATGACTGATTTTAAAATGTATATAGGAAGTTCCTACTCATATTGAAAGTACTGATAAACATGTGTTTAGAAATAACTGGACTCAAAAAATGTTAGTATAGCCAAATTATTGGAGGATATTGGAGATTATAGATGCAAGCGGAAAAACAAAGGAGGAAATTGTCTTTCCCTGGCTTCAGTCAAGCAATACATGTGGTAACAGAGATACAAATCATGTCAAGATAAACTTAAAGACATGGGCATTTGTGTGTGTGTTCTAATACTTCAAATGTTTCGACTGCAGAAAATTGTTTTCTTGCTTCTGTAGCGTTGAGTATATACATGGTCATTGAAATCTGTGGGTTTAAGATTGTCTATTTCAATCTTAGAAAATCGAGTTTACAGGAGTAAGAATTAGAAAAGTGATGGATTAAACTAAATAAGAGGAGAAAATGCACAGTAAAGAAATAACTTGTTTGATGGTCAGTGAGTCTATGTTCAGACTATTTCTTAAAACAAATTTTTATTTCCATAAAGCAAGTAAAAAACCTGCATCTATGACATCTCCTAGCGATATTGTATTGATTTATTTGCATGGTGGTTTGCAAACATCCAGAAGGGAGGTTACAGATATTACAAATATGACATAAAAGTTTTCTCTTTTTTTCATTCTTTTTTACTTTAGTTCCAGATTAAAATTAAAAAAATATATAACTCCTCAGTTTTTTTTAAATTTAATATGTATTTTATTTACAATTTTTTTAACTAGAATGTTGACATTTATAGCTTTCTTTTGGAGTAAAAATCTATAAAATATAAATTTTAACATGCCATTATCCCATTGAAAAGTAATTTTTCATAATTTTTTTCTATTAAATATTATGTCCATAGTGATATTCTAAGCACTGATTAGATGATTTAATTCTATTTGCTTGATTCTATCAGTCTTTTTTACCTCCCTAGATTTAACGTTCTTTTATTCTTCTACTGATTACCTGAGATCTTCAAATAGGTATATGATGTTACAACAGTTTTAAGTTTTAAGTGTGTTCTTCGCTGTTGAAAGAACCTTACATTATTATTTTTTACATATTTTAAAAATCGCAAAGCATAACCCTAGGAAAGATTTCATAGTTGCAAAAAAGAGATAGCTCTGAATTTCTTCTGGTAGCAAAACAAAATGAAATGAATAACAGTCTCATAGACAACCAATCTAAAACTAAACCTTTAATACTTTTGATGCTGTGGTCTGATGACTCACTTTTGAAGATGTTTAAAAAAAATCACTTCTGAAATATGTAAAATGACATTGACCAAAGTTATATTGATAATAAAGACTAAAATTAATAAAATTAGTACAAAAGTAGTACAAAATTAGTAATTTTTCTCTAAGAAGCAATTATAAAACTGATATAAGGGTTAAAATAATTCTTTTAGTACTCTGGAATTTTACCAAAGGCAAAATCTGACTAAAAAAATAGGATTATGATTGTCTATTCTTTATCTTCATTGGAGTTTAATATTCAGTTTTCTTTATGTTAATACTTAAAAATTATGATAATTTTAAAGTGTTAACATATTTTTAAGTATTATAAAAATATTTCCACCTGTTTTTTTTCTGTAAATGGAAAATAAATAATTTATTATCATTTTAATTTCTTAATTTTCTCTAAAATGAAGTGATAGTGCGACAATATTTTCCTCCCAGCTGAAAACTGAAAATAGATGCACGGTAAACTCCAACAAAGATAAAGAATAGACAATCATAAATGTACATAAATGTACATATATTGGGATCCCCTACACTCGGAAGACACCTACGTTTTCTCTTGAAGATGTACTATTTCTCTTCCCTCAAATTTCTCTAGGTGAGAGTCCTTTAAAAAGACTATTTCATTCCAGTAAAATAAACTGCTTTTCTTAGTTTTATTTCAACAAATTTAACGTGATAGTTTCTGTTTATTTGCTGTCTCATTTATGTACTTCTGGTTGTTTTCTTTAAAAAAAATCTCTGTTATTAAATTTATACCAGATTCTATTATCTCTTGGTCATATGATAATTATTTCTCATTTCTGATTTAATATTTTAAAAATATTTCTTTTAGACAATCTTCATCTCCCTTACAATAATCTGTGCAACTTTTTTGTCCTTAAAGTTTTATATGGTTTATTTGTTAAATTTTGTTTATGAGTATGTTCATTTGAAAATTAACTCACTTCTGAGTGATGTGTTGTAATTTTATTTTATTTCATGGTTGGGTTTTGGGAGAGCAGTTTTATTAGGTAAAATTTTATAATTCCCTTTCATTCCTTTCTTCTACATTAAATACATTGAAGCCAGCTTATATTTTCACTTTTAAGGACTTTTTTTTAATAATGTGCTAGCTTGTATG